AGCATTCTCACTAGCACTCTTCATATTGTTTACGTGATAAAGGGAACATTGCCATGAGATATGAGGTGATACTGCTTTTGAGCAATCCATGTGCTTTGACGGGACACCAAAATGAGGTGGCAACACCTCGAAATCAGAGTCCCTCTTGAATGTCCAACGTCTTTCAGACGGGAGATTCGGGTGATAAAGCCTGGTATTAAAACCACCCATTGTTTTAATGGTCTGTGCCAATCCATTGCTTTACTAAGGATTTTAGACCAAAAGACCGGGTCGACAAGAATTCATGTTGCAGGTCTTTGAGGCTACGGTACATCTAAATCCTATAATATATAGAATTTGATATAACTATAATTAATTATATATAAATACTGGGTACCTGAGCCTTTCTTGGGCCCAGCAACGGCACTTGTGGGAACATCACGACACTGCTTACAGCTTACATGTCATATGAGTCAGCACCTGGCTGCAAATCGCCTTTGAATGTGGAATGAGAATTTAGAGCCCCAAAGGAGTAGGTCTCATTACTATATCTGCCCAGCAGTGTCATCCCAATCACCTCAAGAACACTTTTTCAGCACTACTCAACAAAAAGAGGGATCCCCACGAGCCATGACCAGTACAACCTCCGTCTATCCGAAGAAGTAACACACAACACTCCAGGTGTCTTGAGATTCTGACCACAACCCCGAGGGAATGGCAACCAATCGGATGACAATGAACTGACGTTACTTGCAGGACTTTGGACACTGGCGTGGTGGCTCTGTTCAATTGGTCTAATCGGGTGATTTGTAAGCGTCTTCCCACATCAGCCCCTCATTTTTGAACATTTTGTCAGGGCTTGATCGGTTTGATTCTGAGCGCAACTCTCAGCTACCAACCACAGCCTCAACAAACCGTAGTTTGACGCTTCTAGCATTCATGCCACCGTGACCCATGTGATGTCTCAACTTCAACCATGACCAAGAGCACTCCCAAACCCTGCCGTAGAATCTGCCGCATGGCGATTTAAAACGATTTAAAACACTTACAAAAATCGATCTCCCCACCTTGATCAGCTTCGCGTAGCTCCATCTGACAAAGGGCGTCAACAATCTTTTTGCCTGTGGAGACTTCAGGAAGTGGGAGAACCACACCAAAACCTGCTGAGAAAACAGGGCATGAGGCATGAGGCGCCCTGTCCTTGTTAATAAACACGAAACTTCACTGACCGGTGAAATGACCATCGACAATGATCGTCAAACCACATACATGCCCGCCCAAAGGAAGGAAACAATGCTCTTCTCAAGTGCTTAGCTCCCCTACCTCTCGCAGGGTGTCTGCGGGTTAAATGACCAACTACACAAAACCAATGAACATTGACCTGCCTAATCCACTTCCGAAAAAAAAAAAAAAAAACAAAAAAAAAAAAAAGGGAATTTGTTGCTTCCGTGGCTGGAGGTTCAGCCGGTGATGCTTAAACGGTGAGGGGTGTTTCCACACACCGAACGTTTGCTCCGCAGCTTTCGCATCTGCGGACGTCTGACCGTGGTCAGAACATGGAAATCGGGGGGAAGGTCAATTCATGAAGAGCCTGGCCATATCTCAACATGTCTGATTGAATCTGGTCATGAATGCCTATTTTTGGGCAGCACAGAGTTGAGAGAGCCAGTACAAAAAGTTGGAGTCACGGACTGAGTCACCAGTCATCGAAGAGGATCCTTCCGAACCGTGCGGATGTCACAACCACAACTGTCGCATCGCGCTTGCGAATCAGGAACAAACACGGGCGCCCGTAGTGATAGACTAAGTGGTTCATTGGATCCAAAAACCTATAAGGACCATCCAAGGGGTTCCAATGGACTACCCCACACTACCTATAGGCTCCCATTGGGCACCCGTTAATAAGGTGTGATGTAAGCTTTTGAAAAAGTCTGTTTGGCCAGTGTTGGCGAAATGTGCCCTGGTGGGACCCAAACTCCAATACCCTCCCACAGGATTCATCAACGTCACAACCGAGGCTTGCACTTGTACCGCTCACCAAAACCAACCTCACCTCCAATGAAACTCTCATCCTGACTACACTTCGTGCAATATGGTTTCCACATGTTTCCACTGTAAATCCAATCCTTTTGGAACCAAACATGTGGATGAATTGGCTCCATCCAGAACTGTCTCTCCTGCCACGGCCGGGGAAAAAAACCAAACCAAACCGTCCACCGATCCACACTTCGTGCTGCGTCCTCGCCGCGCCGCTGCGCCTTTGCCCTCCCGATCTTCGGCTCCTGAAGGTCAAAAAAACTGTGTAGACATCCGTAAACATCGGGTCAAAAGCAGCGACCCGTGACTCTCTGAACCCGTTCAAGACGGCTGCTTCAGAAAAAAAAAAAACAGTACATGCATATAGTCTTACATACTGGAAACACACATTATAAATAAGGATACATATATATATATATATAATATAGACTCGTTTTGCCCGGCTACTTATGAGCATGACAATATGACAATCCAGACACAACATGTTCACTGTTCGCACTCACTATAATGATTGTGACATATTGTAAACGTCCCAAATGTTTCCAGCATGGGTTTGTCTTGTTATGTATGAGTTGACCCACCAATACATACACGGGGTAAGGGGATGCATTGGATACGTTCGGGGGCATGAACTGTTCCATCTACACAGCTGGCAAATCAAAACAAATTCCAATCCAAGGACCAGTTCCATGTTTTTGACCGGAAGGGACTTTCGGGGTCAACACACCTCTCCACCCAAGCCACTTTCAACTTTCAAACAAAAACAAACACAAACAAGAACAAATCAACAAACAAACAACAACAAAGAAGCCAACCACCACCCACCACCGCCACCACCACCACCAACAACAACAATAACAGTCGCTGGGCGCAAGTGACCCACGAAGGCGGGCTCGAGCTGTCATGAGCAGCTGTCCTTGTAGCCCAAATTTGTTTTTCACTTTCTTCCAACGACAGGGGCTGGCACAGCGGGATTGGCGCAGTTCGGATTCCTGCGCAGTTCGATCCAGACACGTGTCTCGGGTCAAGAGAGCCGACCATTGGAAGGTCCTGGGATCACGTTCGGGTTGTTTCAGACCTTGGCAAATTTGATGATGTTGCTCTATTTGGACTAAGCACACAAAAGACATCTTGCTTCTCCAAAAAGAATCCTCTGCGGGCGGTTTGGAGTTCGCCAGAGTTATTGGAACTATGGTCCTGGGACCTCGGTCCTGGTCGGTTCCGACTGCACGTCTTCGGATCGAGAGGTCCAACCAATCGACTTGCCCATCCTGACCAACCGGATGTCACCGGATGTCACCGGATGTCACCGGCATCCTGACCATCGCCCCCAACAAGAGCGAGAAGAACCAAAGATCCATCAATCCCAAGGTGGACACTCGGCCATGTCGGGGGTGTCCGAGTCCAAGGTTTTCTGCATCTGCCGAAAATATCAACAGGACGAAAACGCGGAAACCAGCGTTTCACGCGAAGCGACGAAGATCCACCCATTCAGAAGCAATCAACTCTTTATCAAGCTCATCTATCACCTCTCAACCCCCCAAACGCCTAGAGTCCTAGAGAGAGTAGCAGCACCCCAAACTCTCAAGACCCGTGACGAGCAAAGGTGCAAGGACCTTGTCAGCATGGACACACCAAAACGTTTCTTGCACCTCCGCCCTCTCACGACTCAAAAAGTCTCTCACGACTCACAATCGGGTGAAGCGGTGAAGCCCATTTAAACCGTCGTCCCATATATACGATATAAACTTATAGTATACTTATAATAACTTCATTTAGGCTTTCACATGCTTTCACCATCTATGTCTCACTCCCGGTGCTCGCGACCGGTCCTGCCAGTCCGGCGCCTCGGACCAGGTCTCCGCCATGGGCTCCGCATGGGGCGGAGCGGGTGACCACGGTGAGTGAGCCCACGGCAGGGCGCCACGCGGAAGGGCGCCCGGCAGAGGACGGGTTGGTTCAAAACAGCGAGTCAATTGCTACTGAGTGTCAAGCTGTGTTTTTTGTTGGGGGGGCAAGAGCTGAGTCAACAAAAAGAAGTGCTTTGGGACTGTGTCCGTGTCACCTGTAACTCTGATCTAAGGACACAAAGAAGAGATCAGTTGGAAGATGTTGATGTAGAAGTTTGCAAGGTTCAAGAGCTGCTTAGAAAGTAGGTGTGGAGGAATCAGTTGAATAAACACACATTAAGTATATTACATTAACATATATATATATATATATCATTTAGTCTTGGTGGTTGGCTCTGAGGTTTATCGGAATCACATCAATCCTAAACGTGGTGCACGGACAGTTTCAATTTTTCAGACCTGGCTCTCTCAAAAGTTCCATGTGTTGTAGACTGACATCCCAAATGGCTCGCGGTGTTTAGCGCTCTGATCACGAAAGTCGATGAGCGGGGAGACCGAATAAAACAGAAAACACAAGGCCTAACATACGTCGCCAACAAGGCCTACCATACGTGCTGGGCAGCAACCAATCCCACAAACCTCTATAGGCTTGCCTCCAAACCTCTAACGCACCCCTACCTCCAGATGTTGCTTACCTTGCATTTACCTGATTTGCCTTAAATTTCAATTCATTCACTGTGGGCAAAGTACCTCCAAACTTCTTTGTTCTCGCTGGGCTCGGGGAGAGCAGATGGCGTCACTGGCCGGCTCGGTGACGATCCGAAGCACCACGAGGGTGAGCAGCGATCAACAAGGGGATCCGATCCTCTCTAGCTCTACATGTTGATGCTGAACCGTGCTCTACATGTATCTTGAACAAGTGGGAATTGGCATCAATTGGTGGTATCTAAAACATGTGGAAAGTCCTGGTTGAGCGAGTCCGGCTCGTTGGCCTTGCTACCGACACATGAGCAACGGAACCGAGCGCACCAGATTCTCACGCTCAAACCCACTCAACCTTGATGGGACCTGATGGGATGTAAGCTATTTGGGAGCTCATGGACCAAGAAGCGTGGGACACGCAGCGCATTTTTTCTACCAGAACGAAAAGTCTGGCAAACACTCCGTGGCCTGGGAGATGGCGGCTAGCCAGCTAGGCAAATGTTCTGCGAGTACCAAATCAACCCTCAAAAATACGAGCACCTGTAAACATCAAAACGTCAAGGCGATGGACAAAAAGAAACAAAACATGAACAAACACATCATATATGCAAAGCAAGCAAACAATAATGATCACCTTCAAGGTGAAATCATTCTAGACTCTAGACTGCCCAAGCATTGGGATTGAAACACCCTTACAAAAGAATCTTTAAACACCGCACCCTTAAAGACTGATGAGGAAAACTAGATTACGCTTTTCTGGGTCTCAATTACGCACCTTTACTGGAGCCATATTTTTGAGACACTGACAGTGGGGATGTGAAGTGGGTCCAACTACTTCTGGGGTAGTTCGATCCATATTGAATTATGTGTTTGAACACATATACAGTCAGGAGACCCCTCAAGAATATTCCGAGAATTTCCGAGAGAAGGAAAGACCCATGAAAACCTATAGAGCCCACGGCACGAAGGGTCTGTCTCTTTTCTCCATCCTGGGTCCTGGACACCTAATCGTCTTCGCCCCACGACTCTTCCCCCACGACTCGCCTCAGGTTTGGTCTTCTTGACGCCTCTGGCGGCATAGCTCGCCAATTCGAGGACCTGCAACCCGATTCGGATTCGAAGACGTCCAAAAAAAGTGGGTTTAGGGAACCACATGTCCGATGCGAAACCAGGTTTTGCTGACACAGCCAACAATGCTTTTGCTGACTACCACCGTTTCAGGGATTCCTCTCCAGGTGTTCTTTGGTGTTCTAACGTGTCATGAACTGCAATTTCTTCGAGACATGACGCTGACACGACGCTGGCCGCGCCGGATCGAAGAACGGCGCCTTTTCAGGCTTCCGGCCATAATGTTCATAGTAGGCAGACCATCGACACCTACGTCGGCGCTGGAGGCGCGTTTTGGGACGACCGACCCAGATGGAAGAGTTATGATGACATGGTGAGTCAGTTTCATGGGGTAAATATCTGTAACTAGCCCATACATGATGATCTGATGGTCTGGGTCTGTTCCTCAATGTTCAGGATCAGTTATTTTTTTACATGGACGGCAGGACGGCGGGCTTGGGCTGGGAAGCGGTTCCTTTCTTGTTTCATGCCGGTACTTCAAGTGGAACGTGCCGTTCGCTCATATCTGACGGTGTCACACCAAAGAATTGACGAAGAAACAGCCAACACATAAATCACTATTCAACTCATTTAATGTCTCAGTGGAATCATAATGATCATGGAAGTGGAAAACCACCTGTTTGGTATTTGGAAAATGGTCCTCCGAAATCGTGCCCATGCCATCCACGTTGGGTCATGTTGATTTTAGGACGCATACATGAGTATACGGTATACGCTCCGATGTTCAAGGGTAAGGTGAGTGGCCCTTTTGAGGGGACTCTTCAAGAGCAAAGCTCCTCATCGATCTCTCGACCTCGGTCCCCACCTGGACCTCTTGCTGAAGCCCGAGGAGGAGGACCAGAGCAACAGTGGCGCAGCACCGAAGTCGCCATTAGCCATGCTCAACCACCTCGGCGCTGAAAAAGGAAGTGCGAAGCCGAGAGGTCTTTGGGACGGACAATGGGATTTGGATGGATTTGGGTGTTGCAATAAGTTAGACTTGGGCACTGGGCACACATGTTTTCGGCAATGAAGTCCGCAAAGGCGTTAGGCTTATTCGGGCACCTTACAATCCGCTCATGATTTATGTCCAAAGCAGTGGAAAACACACTATAGCAACAGATTTTGCAGGGAGAAATGTCGTGGGCCGGCGCCCAACTACCGACCGACCGACCGCTGTCAGTGATCATTATTGCTGTCAAAGCCTCAGAAACCTAGCGATGAATCCCCTACTTTGCCCATCAATGCCTCAAAATATATGTGGGGTTTGTATCATTACTAATTGAGGAAGACCAAAAAAACCAATGGATCTTTGCGTTTGATGGAGTCCGTTGCCACGGTTCGTCTTTGGAGTCCGTGTCTCGCCGTTTCAATACACCAACCGACGCTCCGACGCTCCCGCGCTCCGTTTCACGCCTCATTTCCCTCTCGTGAGGATATCCCAAGGCGGCCTGGTGCGGTGCGCCCGCCGAGCGAGGGCTGCGTCGACGCCGAGGTGACAAGCAAAACAACGAACGGTAGGGTGAAAAGCCACCCAAACACTCCATGTATGGATATGTATGGTACAAACTGATGAACTGCACTGCCCAAAACAAGCACATCACATACCCCCCAAAAGATCAAACTATATACAACCTTGATCGGTTTACGGTTGCCAATGGGGTGCAAACATTTGACCGTCAATGGTATCGGTTACCTCGTTTAAACAAACTGGTTTGTTAACCAATATGTTTCGTTCTTGCCACAGTCTCTTGTGCAATCTGGTTTGTCAATGCGCTGGTCAGCATGTTTTTTGATGTGCTGATCACTTTCCGAAGATGTTCCGCTCAACACCACATGGATGTTCTAAACTTTCCATGCAACACTATACCACCCAAATCCAGGAGTGGATTGTCTGTTATGTCCTGTTGTTTCTCTCTTCTCTCTCTCTCTCTCAACATAGCAAGTCGTCACTTGATGATTGATCCCTCACTAGTCTGCGAACACCAGGTGTGCTCACTGTGCTCACCAGGCAATCAGGACGCCAAAAGGGCTACACCTTTCCTTGGAGTGAGTCTCTTCCTTGGCATCTCTCTGGCTACATTTGTTGATGAAAATGGCCCACATGCAACAACTGCAAACAAAAACGCTGCTTGCAGTACTGGAACCACTGGCACTTTAGCAGACCTTGCCGTTTACACCTGGCAAGATCAAATAGGTCAGGTGTTGGAAAACACCTCATCATCCACTTACTGTAACTATTCAGGGCCCACAAAACATCCCAGCACAGTTTTTGGCTAGGTTGGGAACACCATATTGCCACTGGATAGAGTTCCTTAAATGCAGCCAATGCTTGACGGTCTGAGAAGATCTACATGCTGAGAAAGAGAATGCCCGTTGATTCACTCTACAAAGCACGGCCGTGCACGTTCTCGCACTGCATGGGAAGAAAGTACATGGATCGACCGTTCCTTCAAAACCGCCGGAGTTTGTTCATCAATATGAATGAGCTGGCTCTACAGCAAGCTCGTACCATCCCGTAGCGAATCACCTTCCGAGGCGGAGTCGAAACAAGGTTCTAGAATGTTCTAGAATTACGCCAGCATGGACCCCAAATGGCAAAACACATGCAAAAGACATTTGTGGGCAGCAGCACGCTGCGGACCGCGCCCAGGCTCCAGGCTGGCACCCTGCAGCGGCCCGTTCTACCCAAGCTCCAGCGCCCTGCAACGGCAGCAGCACCCAAGCTCCAAAGCGCACGGCAGCGTACTGTTTCCTATGTTTGAAGAAGCCCAAGAGCTCGCGGGATGTGGGGAAAATGCAACCCAAAACATGGAAGGAACCCAGGACATAGAACAACCTGCACTCTAAGACCATTACATATCCTCATATCCTCATTGAAACTGATCCTTCAAGTCTCTGAAAACCATCATCCCATTTGCCTCCTACCGGTCACTTCGCACCACCTGCCACCACTGACCATTGTTTTCAGCACACCACCGCCTGCACATAGCGGACACCATCCAGCACAGTGTCCCAACCGAAGTGCGTGTGGCCGAAAATGTGGACGTCCGGCTTCCTCAAGGGCCGGACGACTCGCCACCGGTACCGACGGCTCAGTGCACTGCGACCGACGACCCCTCGCCCCGGGGCCAGTGCAGTGCGACGTCGGGACCGGCGCACTGTCACATCACCCTCTGTAGGGACCGGTGGGAGCCGGGAGCATGTGGAATCAACGAGATGCAATTTACGTTTTGTCAAAAACATTCAAAGATCGGGGCCACCGTTATACTTACTTCCTTCTATGGGAAATGGGAAGATATATATGGGAACGCAGCTAAAGGCAAAAACACTGAAGTGAGATTTGAGCGACTGGTGAGCGACTGACTGTTCTTAGCAATCTCTGCAGGTTGTCCTTTTCTCAGAAAACGATAGGCTCATCTTCGCGTGAAAAACGAGCAACGTGTTTGTCTCTTCGAATTCCAAACACATCACGTGTCCCGTCTGTGGCCGCCAGGTACGATTCCGTTGATATCAATATTGATGATCCGAAGAGAAAAGCCCACCAGTTGTGTGCATCTCCTCCAAATAAATGCATCCAAATGCTGCACCCAAGGCATACCATGCAAACAAACAATATGCAGAATGATACAAGTCATTACAAGTCTTAAAATGCTGGTGTGACCCAAACGGCAAAAAGGTCGATCGACGTTAGACATGCTACGCGCCTACAAGCAATGGAAGCATCCACCAAATATTGACGTTGCTTGGGATATTCGGCAAGCAAGCCTTTTAACATGACCAAACGTTGGAGCAAACACAATATCAGATATCACACAAATAAAATGTTCTTCTTGGCAAAAACCTCAACTTGTTCTTCCAAAACACCTCTTACTGTCGATACGGGATGTATTTACGTAAGCGAGACACACCCTGCTCTCGCCGGCTGAATCCATCGAGGCACAGTTGCTCCACACGAGCACGGAGAAAGTTGGAGCCGGATGCCTCGACAAAGGTCGTCCATCGCCACGGGATAGGTGTTTCTCTGAGATAGGTGGGCAAAGGTATCGGTAGTGGTTCATTGTGGGGATATAGAGGTGGGCCCCAAAGTATATTTGTAACCAAAGGACGATACACACAGGTGGTGGCGACTGTGTGTGATGGAAACTGATGGGATGTCTATTGCTGGTAGTGATTGGAGGCTTGGGGTCGAACAAATACCTTGCACGCTCATTTCACATAAAAGTTGAATGGCAGTGCGTAACCTTAGTTTCTGAACCAAACCGCTTCTTTCCTGCAGCTGCAAAGTGGAAATCTTCTCATGTGCATAAGCAAAGCAACTGAGCTAGCTGGCTTGCTTAACCAGCCACTACAACCCGATTGAACTGAATGCAGGATTCCAAAGCCCAAGGCTTTCATAGACTGTCTCATGCTTTCTCATTTGAAGATTTTGAAGGAGAGAAGGGAGACCTGCCCTGGCCCTGAAAAACATGGAGATTTGGCTGTGGGTCATGGTGCCCGGATCCCCAAACCAAATGGGCGCCCGTTTGACCTGTAGGTCGTCCATTCTGGTCATTTTCTCTGGTCAACCTAGGTAGCCCGGTGCGATAACCCACACATTTTAAGGAAGACGTTGAAACCTGGACATCCTTCCAGTTCGTCGTCCTGTGCAGCTCTGACAGTGGGTCATGGCGCCCCCTATTTGGATTGAAGCACATCTTCATATGGGAGGGGGTTTTGCTCAACCCGTGTACATTCACAGCAATTCAATCTTTTGAATGTCAACTGTGCTCGGCACCAAGGTACCGTCCGGCCAAGCCCTGCCGAGGTTTTTCGGGCCGAAAAGGGCGCCACACCGCCCCTCAGCACATGGCCTGTCCGTTCGTACCACCTGGCCCGTCCACTGTACTGTCCCGCCTTGGCCAAACAAGGAATCATCAAGAAGCGTTTCTCCAAGAGCAACTCCTGAGGCCAAAAAGGATGTACCACGGTATTTTTTTCAAGGGTGCATGACCCTGGCACGGTTTCGGAAGTCTAACTACCAAATCAGTTTTAGTTGATTTTAGTGGGATTTTCACTTTTCTATCTATGACAGGGGCCAGGGCGGCCAGGGGGTCTATTGATTTGGGATCAAAGCCTCAAAGGCCTGGGAAGCACTTGGATCTCACGCAGGCTCCGGATTTGGCGGCTCAAATGACTGTCAGTCCATCTAGATTCCCTGCAGCAAATGACCTTTTGCAACTATATATCTGTCTACTCTGAAACCACTGTAGAATTTCTGAAGTCCTCCACGTGGGGATCCTGAGGGAATCAGGGTGGCACTCTGTCAGGGACTGGTCTGGTCGAATATCTCGCACGGACCAAGGCCTCGAAAAGACCAACCAGAAAAGACCCCAGACCAAACAAGGCCGAGGGACGATGGAAGAGTTTCCGTCCAGTATCGTCCAGTTGAGTCTGGGTAAGGGGTAAAATGTAACTATTCCATCAATTCCAATCCCATGAATGGCCCTGGGAATCCAAAACCCTTGAACGTCACCAATCCCACCGTCAAGACGTTCGAAAAGCCCAAAACCGCCCACATCGGAAAACCCTCCATGCAGCAATAGTGTCGATGCGTGGCAGGAAGTGGGAGAAAGTGACCTGATGGCAAACCAAATACCAAGGGTATGGCATGGACACTTGCAAGCGTTTCTTCTCAAACAGAAGGTGCCCGCCTTCCATGATGGTTACATAGAAAGGACTATAATTGATCATACAACATGTAAAGAGAGAGAGAGCGAGAGAGATGAAGACACTGAAACTCAAGTAGCGTTTCGATGACAAAACAAGCTTTCATCAAACACGTGACTCACCTAAAACAACTTGAGTGTTCCCACTCAAGACCAAGCCACCATGCCAACGCATTGTGTTATTGTTGCCCCTCCCAATTGTTCGCTCATGCCTTTCCAGATGACCATTCTGGTGAGGATTGGTCAACCCCTTGCATCTGATCAGGCTATCGAATTGCACACATCAAGCCATCAAGCTGAAGTAAGGAAGATACTTGGCATGTTTCTTATAGGAAAGGTCATTCCCCTCAGTTGGACTAACTGTTTGACCAGCCTAGTCTTCACTCAGTCCTGGACTGGGTGGGGGTTGCGCCCCCACCCAATGACTCAAGACAGGTTGCTCGATTGAACAGACTAGAAGACCCACAAAAGCCAGTCTAACCAAGAACGTTCCCTAGGCCTCCAAGTACCTTCTGAGAAGGTGTTTGGGATGGGTTTGGAGGGTCGAGTCTAAATCCCTTCTGAGTCTGAGGAGGTACTTGGAGGTGTAGGGGTTTTGCAAACACCAAAAATACGCCAGGTAACCAACCAACATGACTCCACACCACACCCTCCATGTGCGCCATGCGTCCAATGGCTCATCTTGTCGATCGACCAACGCTTCTTGGAGCTTCAGCTGGTCGTTCCTCGGCTCCGTTCTACGTGTCGTTCCTCGTCATGAGAGATACCCAGGTGCCCAAACACCCCATGGGACTGGCATATATGCCGCCCCATTGACCCCAGGTCAACCACCCCAACTGATCTTTTAATACGCCAGTCCCATGGAGTGTCTGGGATTGCCCAAACACTCCATGCAACTGGAAGAACTATGCCGCCCCATTGACCCCCCTGGCACCACCCCAATATGTAGGCATATGCAGTATTCGATCGTATTCGATACATGTTACATGGAGTGTCTGGGTTGGGGGACACAATTTGATCTGCATGACCTGGATTCAAAGATTGAACGCTCTCCAGGATATTCAATGAGTATTCCGTATTCCGGATGAGGAGATTGACCCCATGCAAATGGCCCCAATGTATTGGGTGGATGATGGTTGGGTTGCAGGCCTTCCTCTAATCAGATTAACATAGTATAACATAGTGATGTTCTGTTCTTGTTTATCTATACTTACAGGTGGCTCGGACAAACCCAACTCCTGGGACAGACGTAACTCTTCCGGATTCCCAAAGCCGTCTGGAACACTGGGATGGTCGACATCAACGGACACGTTGAGTACTTTCTGCTCTGACTTTCTGATCTAGTTAGTACAATACCTGGCATATATGCCGATCAATTGACCCCTGAAACCACCCCAATGTAGGTAAATATGCCATACATAGAGGTATTTAGACCCTCAGAAGGTATTTAGACCCTCCAAACCCACCCCAAACATCTTTTAAGAAGGTACTTGGAGGCCTAGGGAATAGGACATCAAGCGTGCCGATTTCCCCAGTGCTTTTTCCCACATCGGCACGCTTTTTCCAACGTCGTCCGGCCCCTTTCTCTTCGAGGTGCAACGCATCCACCCGGCGGCTGGCCGAGTCGTCGAACATGGAGACCTTCGCCGCAGAGTCGTCGGCTGCTGCGGGGGAACAAGGAATTCGAAAGCCTAAATGGTCCAAGATGGTCCAAGGAGCATCCTGATCGACCATCCTGCCCCCCCCCAGTTCGACCATTCTGTGGAAGTACGTACTCACCTCCAAGGTCCATCAGAAAGGAGGTACCTGGACCCTATGGGAAACCAATTCCCAAAAACGATCAGTGGGATGATTGATTTCATCTACCTCTCTTGTGGTCGCCAAGACTGGTCGCACGAGATGGTAGATGTTGCTGATTCAAAGCCACCAGGAAACCCTGTGGTGTGGTGATTTAGGATCTCGCAAAGCAAATATATAATCCCAATGCCAATGCACAACATTGACTTCCTCTATAAATGTTTACATGACTTATAATCCCAATGCACAACATAGCTCTTATAGTTACTAAATGTTACTAAGAGCTTTGCAATGTTTATGCATGACATCTTCCACCAACCCGAAAGAAAGCTGGCGCATTCACCAAAGCAACAGCCAGTCAAGGGTCCTGAGCTACCCGACTGCTCAAAAATCGAACGTCCTCTAAAAGCGCCTTCCCTATCTGGCGCTTGCAAACTCCGCTTGGACACTGTCATGGAATTGACACATGTTAAAACATCTGATTCCATGGTGAATCTTCAGTGAAAGGTGTGGCAATTGCATTCTGCCTGAGTGGCTCGCTTTTGGACAAGCTGGTACCCTCCCACAAACGATCCCATGGAACCTGAGAATTGACCGGTGGATTGGACCATTTTCCGAAGACCAACCCGACGTGGTTTGGGGGTTCCTTGTGGTTCGAACAGCAGGGGAGTATGTACATTAGATGTTACCTACCTCTCAAGACTCTTGTCCTGGTGACATTCATTCATCCACTACCACAGGGTCGAGATTGTATTCCCGAGTCGGAGTCTTCTATGGGAGTGCACTTGGCAACAAATGCACGCAATCTAGCAATATCAACACAAAATACACCACAAAACAACATGCAACTTGAAGCTGCTTGCTTTCAGTGGCAAACCTTTTCTTCCCCCCCGGGCCCAACTCCACGGCCGAAGGACAGCGGGGGGAAACCGGCACCGAGAGAAGTCAGCCATACACAGCGCGGGGTCGGTGGGCAGATCCCAACCTGGTCGGTGGAAAGAGCGGAAGGTTCGCGGTCGTTCGTTCGTGGTCTAAGTGAGCTACGAACGTGACAAGGACAGTATTTGGTGGCCATCGAGTAGGTAGGTTGGAGGCCATCGCAACGAACGTGACCAAGAAGCTACGAACACACATCGAAAGCAGTGGGGGAACCCACGTCCGGAGAGGTGGACTTGGGGCAGTGGAGTGGTGATGTTCTCTCTATCAGTCCATCATGGGAGACGGTTTGCAGTGCATTGCCTGGCCTCACTTGGATCGACAGCTGCCCTTTTTTGGCAGTTGAGTAACAGGTGTCAGGTGTCGCACAAGGGGATTTCAGCAGGGAAAAGGAAACGGGAACAGCTACGAGGCGCGAAGTTGGGATATCTTCTCCAGTGAGGTGGTGAATCTTCATCGACGTCTCCATTTCCAGGGCATGATCTGACAACAATAAAACCTCCGGTGGCTCTGGCATCAACTGTCAGACGAGCTGTCTCGCACCATGTGTCAATGGAATGTCCACGGCTGGACCTGCGTCGTTTGGTTTGAAGACATTGCGATGGCACATCCCAAGGTCTTCAGGGGCCTTGGATGGAAAGGGCACCAGCCAAAAAAATCAAACCTGCCCACATTCCCAAACGACATAAACCACCCAAGGTCTTCAATGGTCTTCAGGGGCCTTGGATGGAAAGTGCACCAGCCAAAAACTCAAACCTCCCCAGGGTCCAAACGACATGGACCAATCCCTGGAAATGGTCGCAGCTTTGCTGCGACAAGCGACTTTTTCTTGGATCTTCATGTCCTTTTTGTTGCATGGACCAAAGCTATCAGGCCCAAGGCGCCCAAAGCTACGCTACTCCAAACCCTGCCATGTCAGTTCTTCCTCGCCTTCCAGGTCTGGTTCTGGGTCCCAGCTCTGGTGATGCCACGACAAGATGGGACACACCCAGCAGCCCTGGCGTTCGGCCCAGTCCGTCGACGCGACGCGTTTGGTGCACGTGGTGCTGCATGCGTTCTGCCGATGTTTTGGGCACGTGTTATGTGTTGGTTCTGCTTGTTCTGCTTGTTTGTTTGATTTGATATCAGTATTTCTATTGCACACTTGCACACTCCAGTTCTAAAGGTCCTGGATTTGGGGTACTCTATGAAGTATACCTGTACCTATAGATCGAACACACCCGTGCGAAAACAAACAAAATAAGGACAAGGTGTTCATTCGGCAGCAAAGCCAGACTCATGGACCTTTCAATAGTCCAATCTGTCAAACCACAACATATTCCCCATGCCAGGGGATGCACACATAGGGAAAACACATCTCATCCGAAGCAACAGCAGGATCAGGACCCTCTTTGAAAATTCATCCTGGCGTTCTTTTTTTTCAGCACAATAAGGCAATCTCTGGTCACTTTGGGTCCCTGTTTTCCTCTCCCCCGTTTTTCCCTTTTCTCAAACATCTCTGCCTGCTCGGGAGTTCCAATCCGCTTGGCCACGGTGTGAATTCCCAACCGTTTACACAGTGTGAAGATCTCGAGTAGCTTGCCGAGGGAGTCCATGTCATCACCCTGAGTCCCCGTGCTCAGCGGGCGAAACACGGTGAAACGCTGTGACAAGAGGCAGCGAAAAGGGTTGAGGGAGGAAACATCATGAAATAACGCCCAGAGTTTTCAGAGGGTAGATTCCGGGTATATCGATGTTTTCTCTGGCTCCCTGACTTTGTCAGGTGGACGTCGTCGGCATGGCCATACCCACGAAGCTGCTTTGTTGACACTTTGATGCAGGAGGGTCCTGAAACTTTGGTGCAGGAGCGTCCTGAACCCCAAAAAACACAAACAAACCGACCAAATCGTTGCAATAGTCTGCTCCTTCTTTGGGGAAATTGGGGGAGCTGAAGATTTGCTGGCCTCCTCAGGTCACCTCTCTTCATCTCTTGTCAGTTTGTGGGACAAAATCGGTCATAGGTACTAACCGTTCCTTGGAGAATGGTCATGGGAGAGAGCCCCTTTCAAGCCATGACTGCTCCAGTTCCGGAATCACCTGAAGCATCCTGTCGGAGTGCCTTGGCTGGAGATCCAGAAGTGTAGGCAGGGTCTTACTTCCGATAGGATGATTCTGGCATGACAACATGGTAATCTTGTGAGGTAGTTCCACTCATGATCACCAGAGCACCTGGCTGGAGCGAGAGACTGAACACCACAGCCACCCACGGTCACAGGAAACCGCACCGTCCAGAGATCATGATTGCCCGGAACGAAGAAGACATCAGCAAACCTCAGAAGCAAAGTAATGGAGTAGTCTCCGACCACGTGTCTCATCTCTATTAAAGCTAAATCAAAAGAAGAAGAAAACACAAGCAAGGATCTTGGGTCAAGCAAACACGCATAGTTTGTTTAAGCATGATTATATAAACCATCCCTGACTCCGAATTTGAGGCGGACAATAACAACAAATATTGCAGACAAGCAAAGCACGCCATCCGGTATTGCATCTTGCTAACAGGGCTGGTGATCTGAGCATTGTACCGGTGTGTTTATAATAAGATCTGCATAAGGATCTAGATCTCCATGAGTCCATCAATGATTAAGCCCACAATATATAGCAGGAGTTCCACATTTTAAAGGGTGGTGTTCACTCTCATCCAGTGAAGAAAACATGAACGCCCCTATGCCACAACTACCTCAACTTGAAACTCCTCGGACAGTTGAGAAAAGATTGTTGTGGTTCCAGTTGAAGCGGTAACATCAAACATAGCGAATTGTCTGGCAGAAGCAATAGACTTCTTGCAAACGCACAAAGGACTTGGCCCTCACAACTTCACAATATGGGTGTGTTGTTTAATAGGGAGACCCGCAACCAATGGGTAGCTGGGTCTTGGCCTGGGAGGTCTTCCTATTTGAGCTACGCGCCCATATCCAATGGTCCGTGCGACCATGCTGGAGATCACAAGAATTGACTTGGTTTGGCCGCCCGAGTACAACAAAAATCAACACACCACAACAAATTGAGACAAACAAAGTTTGCAACAAACACAAGGACTTGTGTTCAGAACCACCTCGTTTTCGACAACACAAAAAGCGACGCAGGTTTCTTACGACGACCGTGTTCGGGAAAGGGTCGGTCCATCTGAAACATGCTGAAACCATTTGGCAAAGTGAGGTTTGGACTGCTTGACATGCATGAGGTTTGTGCGCTGAACTCGTGGGAACTTGTTTTTGTGCAAGCCATGCCACTTTGGACATCCGAATTTTCTACTCTTTGCAGCATTGGCTTCAGATTGCATTGATAGTAGTAGTCCTAGCCTGGCATCAACAGAATATATATCAGCACCAAAAGAACACACATCAAACACACGGGTCCTTAGGTGTTACCAAAGAAATCCAACCACGGTCCCATCCCCCAAACAAGATGCCAACAAGTCCATCCCGTGTAGACGGGAACCTGCCATCCAAATCAATCAGCTCTCCCGCGGCCAGGGGGCTTGTGCACCAGCGTTTGAAGAGTCAACTCCAAAGTGATCATTGAATCAGAGACATCACCTCGTGCAAAAGCAACACTGGAAATGTCCTGCTTTGGAGCGTCCTTCAGTTTGTTTGGCTCCGTTTGCTATTAAAAACATACAACTCTAACTATAGTACTATATTTGTTGCATTGTCTTCTTGTCTAATTCTGTTTGAAGTTCTTTCTTTATGTTTTTGGTGTGATCAAGGTTTGGTTTCTGTGAGTGCGTCTCAAATAATCCCGAGAGTCAGAGATGTTGAAGGTGTGAGAGATACCAACCGTGTAGGACCGACCACGCTGAAGCGGCAGCGGAAAAAAATGAAAACACTACACAAAAGGATTGTTGACCCACACGAAAAAACATGGTTCAGGACAATTCATGTTCAACAACCAGCATTTTTGGCCCCCGCCTGCCAGAATCAGGGCATCATCGACATACTCCGTCTCAGAGAGGTTATTGACCCAAAGCAAATTCTCCTCCAAAGCAATGGTGTCCTTTTGGGAAGAGGGGTGGCTGCCTGCCTGGCGCCACATATATCAAATATACGGAATACTTTTTGGTTGCTCACTTGGGGTATCCCTGGGTATCCCCTTCCCATACATCAGCCAACCAAGGCCGTAAAGGCCAGAGAAGCAGAGTTGATTCAATGCATGAACATCCTCTTTCGACTTCTGTAGTCATTCCAAGAATGTTCTTTTCAAACATCGTGCTTGCAAGGACTGGTTTCGGGCGGTCAAGGAGACCTAGCTGGACCTAGCTCTAGTCTTCCCTCCTCTGGGGATGTCCCATTCAAGTGATGGAAAACATCCGTATAACTAGCAATTTCAAAATGCTAAAAATCCTTGATAATAATACCTATATAATACCCTCATACCTTATGTAGGGGACCCTGATCTATTTCATATTATGATTGCAGCGTATCGATAACCTAGACTGTATATAATATCGATCGTGCAGTATTCTTGTCCATATCAGGTGGTGCAGTGCAAGGATCTTTCTTCTGCAAAGCCTCTCTCTGACGGATGCAGCGTCCTTGATGTCGGTGTGAATATCCTCAAGTTGGCGTGGTGGTGCAATCTGTACGCTGCCATGCGGGGGTCAGGAAGGAGGCATGAAAGAATGAATGTCCGTTCCAAACTTGAACGGAGGCATGGACGTCTCGTCCCATTCAACCCTTGATGGATTCGCCGGCCAAAACCCGTAAACAGCTCTGAGATGCTCTGAGGGATTTTCTTCGAGCTCAAGGAAACACCTCCGGTGGTCTTCGCGTGTTTGAGTTCTCAATTGACTCCACTTTGGGGGCCTCCTGGATGTCGATGCAGGTGGATGCAGTTGTATCTGGTGAAACGACCCATCCCGCAAACAGCGACCGAATGCTTCCATCTTCTCCAACAATGGCATTCAAGCGTCTGAAATGCACCAGAGCCGTACCATCACAACAAAGGGAGCTGGTGCGGCAGCAGGCCGGTCCACGAGTATGTACGTTCCCTTGTCTTCTTTGATCATGAGATGTTCTAATTGTGCTTGCATGCTAGGGGTAATATTGACTATTATTCATGAACTGACTATATTTATTAATCTGTATATGTCACAAGATGTTGTTGCTGCAACAATACAGCCAAGGTCTGGGCAAGATGCATTCAGTGGATAAGCTGAAGGCTCGTTGCAACCTGGTTAGTTGTCTGTTGCCTGTCGAATATGTTGGGACCAACAGGACAATCACCATCAACTTGCCAAGACTTCTTGCAGCTTGTACCTTTGACGCTTGTTACGAAGCGGCTAGCGTCATGGCACGTCTGTGCATCCTCCGTTCCAGCAAAATGCAAAGGTGCCTCTATCTTCTACCATGAATTCATGAATACAGGTGGATACAGGTGGCCTGTTTAGCACGATGTCTTCTCCTGTAGGCTAAACAGCTGGCTTCCCACACACCGTTTTTCCGCATGCTGGTAATGTGAAAGAACGTCGTCCAAGTGGTGTTGTGCCACCCAAAGGCTCTGTTTCTCCACGCTCCAGCCGTTGATCAATGGTGCGTCCACGATCAACGGGGCGTACGCTGTCAAGGGAGCCAGTGGAAGGTCTCAAGGCAACACCCAGAATTTGCTAGTCAAATGAGTGCAAATAGGGATAAAATTGTCTACTGTAAATCCATCTTAATCCGCTAGTACGGAGTGTCATCAACTCGGTGGAGGTGTTTTAATCAAACTCTGTGCACCACAGAGTCGAGTACATGATAGTACAGATTCTGAGTACATAATAGTACATGCAGCATGCCCTTGAAGGTCAGCAGTCAATCAAATGCTCTAAGACCTGCTGTGGTATCGCCAATTCATAGGGTGCTGGTCACCTGCAGGACGCCAAGAAGAATCTTCTCGGACTTTCTAGTGCCGATGCAGCGCCTATTCTGGGTCAAACAGTTGGGTCGTGGACTCCGTCGTCTCGTCTTTTGCACAACATCACGAGGAGCTCAAGGCTCAAACGCACTCTCCCTCTACCGAACGACCATATGACCGACTCACAACAAAAACAAAGATCGACACTCTAAAAACCACGCCCGGCCAGGCTGCCCAGCGCCTGGCCGGCCAGGCGCTGCATGTGCAGACGGGGTTTCCTTCAAAGAACGGTCCCACGACCCAAGAACGGTCCCACGACCAAATAGCGGCGTTTTCTTCGTCGGTCGACGATGTGTCCCCATTCCGATGACCGATGGCCAGATGCTGGTCACTGCAGGTGGACCACGCCTGGAGGCAAATGTGAAGCGTCAATCCATCCAGGTCCAAAACAGTATGGGAAACACGTGGAAAAGACGAATGATGGGTGGTTTAGAAGAACAATGATCAACCAAACCATCTGGGCGATGGATTGAGTTGATTAGGAAAAGTGATGCAGACTTTGGGAATCTTTGAGATACGGATGAGGGAACACTGCCCACTTTCCAGCAGCTGCGCCTCCTTTTGCCTGATCTCTATGCCAGGAACTGCCCTGTCTCGTTCTACGCGTTCGTCGCACGCACGGCAGGATGGCTGCCTTCATCATCTCGAGCTCCAGCCGCCTGGTGAGTCCGTGAGGAGGTTGCATTCCCGAGGGCCATCCAAAGCATAACACACGGCCAAACCACGTGAGACACATTGAGAAACCACGTGGTTTCTACCCCGGAGTCTCCCAAAGAACACAAGACGGACTGCTCAACTTCTCGACAAAAAACATGGTCACAATCAGGCAAAGAAATATCTATACCAGCTGCCAAAGAGGCCTAAAGGGGGTACAGCTGCTGGGCCATGTTCTTTTTTTTACAAGGCATGCAGAGGTGCTGAGGTTGGAGATGGGGTGTGATGCAAAACCATCCATTGGGACCAGCCTTCACACTCAAGGTCAGATCGCATCAATGAGGATATCTGCGGACATCGCCACCTCAAACAGGGGAATCATGGCGGGAATGAGAGCATCAAAGTCGTGTTTGCTTGGTGGGCTAGTAATTATCTTGGAATGGAGGGATTCTTAATTGATGCTTACCAATCTATCCTGAATTGTAGGCAACTATTGACAAGAAAACTATATCAGGCAAAAGCATCAAGTGGCACAGTAATCCAAGACTGCTACACTCTTGGAGCACATGGTACACACCGAATGGCTACTACACATAGACAAACGGCAAGAGGCTTCAGAAAGGGATTCATAGCGTTGTGGTGAGTTTTGTTTGTTTGTAATCACTAGTTTTGCCAAGTCTAGTCAGTGTGTGGGATATGTCAAGCAGGAACATACAAAACAAGACTAAACAGCATGGTGTCAAATGCTATGTACCTCAGATTCTTAGAGTAGAAGAACATACCGTACTCTTGTGGAACAACTAACAAGTTGGCCGGTTGGTGTCAGGAAATGCATCCACTGGCTGAGAGAACCACAAATGAAACAATCTTGGTGCCGGCTCTTAAACGTCTGGACCCGTGGAAATGTCTTGTCACAGGTGGACTGTTTATCGTTCCTTATAAAGACATTTCAACTATACGTGTTTTGATGCATTTTGCCCCTGATCTCTTTCTCTATATGTATATAAAACTTACAGTAATCCATTGCCACCACCGCGCTCGGCACTTTTTGCTCATGGCGTGGATCTTCGGTCCTTGCCCGCTTGCTTCTCACCTGGCACGTTCGGCGCGGCGCACCCATGACATCCATCATGGATGTCACCAGCCCCGGCAGTGCATGACATCCGAACACCTCTAAAGCCTCTAATTCACATGTCTTTCTTGCTGGGTTGTATGGTGCGGTCTGGACTCATCATCCCAAATTGGCCCCGCAAGGGCCCGCAGGCTCGGCCCGCTATGCCTCGGCAGACGACCCGGCCTGCTCAAGGAGCTCCACCACATCCTGATGCCCTGCTTCCTGTGCCAAGGCTAAAGCACTGCGGCCATCTAGGTCCAAGGACCTCGAATCCTCGGTGGAGCGCACTAGCCTAGTGCTCCGACCACATGCTCAGAAGGCAGTTAGACCCTCCCATGCCCACCCGAACCACCTTCCCAACAGCTTTAGTTGGGGTGTGGCTTTGCAAAGAGAAAAAACATCGTCACGTGAATGATGGAGTTGTTGACATTCAAATCCATTTGGGTGATCACATCTCAGGCAGGAACAAAGTGAAGGCAGGCACCTGCAATAATTGCGGTACAGCAATCAGGTCAAATGGTTCGAGAAGAAGAAGTTGGGGTTAAAGGGCCAACATCCCCTTGGGTAAAGGGTGCTGCTTTAGCTCCAGCATCCCTGTACTACCCAGAACCTGTATGTGAAAATTTGCAATAATTTGCCTCTTAAGGAATACTTTGCCAATCCATCGGATGAACGTCAGCTCTCGAGTGCTGCCAAACCTTTCTAGTGAATCGCGGCCTAGAAAAAATCTGGTGATATGGAGAGGAGGTCAACTCTCGTGATATGGAACCACAGTCAGCCACAGTGATTCAATTATAATATATACTTTCCCTACAAGTCCAAAGACCTACGGTCAAACTTGTTCTTTTACCTCATTGAGTTGTTTTTTTTGTACGACCAACTCCAGTAAAATTAGCTCATTGACTTGTAGTTGTTGTTCTTTGTTTTTTCCGTCCAAGCCTCAGCTCCTGCATCCAACAAATGCCGTAGCACTTGGAGGTGCCCGCCGCTGGCAGCCACGTGTAAGGCCGTCTGGCCTGCGCCACAAGGGATCTCTAGCAGGTGCAAGTGATCAAAATGTCTGGGTTACCCTGCACCACTTGCGGCTCTTCGTTGGCCACTCCCTAAAACATGTTCCTGGTACCTGCCCCTGCAAGTCCTGCCTACAAATTCTCTTGCAAGCCTGCTGACTCAGCTGTTTCAACAGCCCACATGGACAGCTCAAAATCCCACCAGCTGACAGGTGTTCCTGTTGATGTTCATGGATGGAGCTCTGGTGTTCAAAGTCTTGGTCGACCATCTTTGTCACCGTTGAGGTAAGAGTTCTGGTCGGCCCACATATCGAAAAGTCTTTGCATACACTCCAGGTAGATGTTCGGACATTTTCCAACCACATCGATCTATTTAAAGGCTATTAATGGTCACTGTGGCAGCCAACCCCCCAGCCTCCGGTCTCTACCTGCTGATCAGCTTTGGCCTCTGCAATGCACGCTGAAACCGAAGTTCGGTGTGCTGGGTCATGAGATCACCCCCTCCATGACTTTCATGCATAGAGACGTTTGACCCCCAACAAGTAGCCTGGTTCATTGACAATTACAAGTACCAGCTGTTCCTGAATGTTGGCATTCCGAAGACTTTGGATTCAACATAAATTTTGATATACATTGTTTCATATTTCAGTATTCACTGAAGCTCTGAGACACAAAGATGCCCTGACATGTACGATCCAAATACCAAATCCACAAAGGAGAACTACAGGTTGGCAATTTTTGGGACGTCTGTGCAGATTTTGTAGCTGGTGGGTGTGTTTTGCAAAATAGCGAAATCACAAATATTACTGGGTCTACGAAGCTCTTCTAGCAAAGGGAAGCTAATTCATTGACAAGGCAAGGTGCCCAAGGTGCTTTGCCTCATATGTCCAAGGTGGTTTACCTCATATTGGTACTGTTCAAATGTGGTTCTCCATGTTTTCTCCTGTTTGGTGCTTCATTGTCGAAATGCCTCCAGCGATGGCTAGTCAAGGATAGTCAAGGAGCGATGATAGTCCTGAAGCCCCAAAGGCGAACGCAAGGTTCAAATCCATTGTGATATTTCAAGCAACGCAATATAGAGCACTGGCAAAACCACAACCCGCAAAAGGCAAACACTTTACCACTGGCAAAAACAGGGGGCTGCTTCATTTGCCACTGGTTTGGGGCTCGGGGTCTGCCTCGTTTAAGGTCTAACATATTTGGTCACTTCTGTGGTCATCGTCTGGCCTCCAGCAAGCACAGGACCACATCTGATTGGCCACCTGAGGAGTTCCATTCGTTCGTGGATCCAAAAAACAAGATCCACGGAGAGGACTAAAACAAATTGAGCGGATGATGCTTAGCTTAAGGGTCTTGGAAAAGAACTGTGATCCATGTCAAGGGGACTAAAGACTCTAGACCTGAGTAGGATAGCCGCCAAGTAATTACTGAGTAACCAGCTTACTGTTGGCAGTACTTTGTTTCCAAGCAACTACCTTCATCACTGAATCCAAACACGTCTGGGTCAAGCAGCTGAACACCAGCTGCGCTGCGTGGGCAACAACCTTCCTTGAGTTGTGTCCAAGTCACAGGAAGCTGCGGCAATCAAGGGCGAGGTCCCATGTGACTGGTGTTGATCCTTGTGTCCGCTTGAGTCGATCGAGCGGACCCAACTGCGGTCGAAACAAAACGCGAGAACTTGGGTCAAACGCCCCACTCGAACTCATGGGAGAGCGACGCGGGATTCGATTTTGCCCATGAAGTCTGTCAGTTGTTTCAATGCACAACAAGTCAGACGGAACTCTCAGAAACGGCAGCGGTTGATCTGCCGTCGGACATTCAGATTACAGTTTTTTTTTTTTTTACATGGCTTTTAGATGGTTTTCACATGGTGTTCACATGCAAAAAAACATGTTCCTTTTCCACATCCCTCTTGCATTCCTCTCGTGTCTGGCTTCTCTCGCGTTTCTCTTTCCGGAGTCGCTGCAGAGGCCGTGAGCAAGCACTTTACGACGTCGATGTATCCACGGGCCTAGGACCGTGGTGTGTGGGGTTTCGGAAAGTCATGGGACCGTGGTGTTCTGGGAGTGTCCAAAAAATGGCGACCGGCTGCAGGGTGGAAATCAGATTAAACTATAGTTAAATCACATGTTCTCACATATCCTGGAGACAGACCAGGGACTAGGTCGGAACCTGTCAAGAGACATCGCCAAATGAGTGGATCCATCCATCTTCCGAAGAAATGCACAAAAAACATACGAAGAAAAACATGAAAAACACAGAAACACACCCGAAAAAAGAATGATCGGTTTTCTTTGTTTGTTTCTTCTGCGATCCAGTGAGCGTGATGCTTCAACCCACGTGATGCTGGTGGTTGGGACCAGTTCACCCAGCGTCGGTGCAAGTGACGCCCCAGTGACGGAACCAAAACCTGCCCATTCCTCCGACCAGAATGGCCTTTGAGACCCAACAGCTCCACACATCGCCACAACCAGGATTGGGGTTTTTGGCTTCTCTTTTCGGGATTTGTGCAGCAAAAAGAACCGTTTTGCACCCACCCTTGTGGCGAACCCCACGATGCCAACCTGTTGTTGGGGCTCCGGTAATTCACAGAACTAACAGCTCCAACCACACCAAATTGTGGCAAAATAAGAGCAGGTTCACAGAACTTGCCATCATGGAACACAAACACGCGACTGGGCAGGGCAACAGAATCAAGCTCTAAACTCTCCGTTCATGGCGATGTATGGATAGTGGCCTATACTTTGACCCTAAAACTGCCTAAAACCATTGTCCCAATATTCCCAAATACTTAATTGTTTCATGGAAAATGGGAGATGGTTGATGCAGAAAACTCTGCAAAATCGCGCAAATCAACTCCCCAACGTTCTTGCAAACAGAAGCCAGCAAGACCTCCCTTTGGACACTACCCAACAGCTGAAGGCTTTCTGCTATTCGATCAGGAGACCCTTGCCTATATTATCTTTTCTTTATGATACTTCCTGTCTTCCTAATCTCAATGTTTGCAGAGTGACGGGTGTCCAGGGTCTTTTTTCCATCACTTGTCGGTCGTTCCAGAGTCATAAAATAGACACATCTTGCTCAAACATGTGTAAAGCTTCTGTACACCATGGATTCAAGCACACAGTTCTGCAGCATTATGAGGCAATCTCTGCATGTAGCAAACAAGTACTCAAACAAGTCATCAAGGTCAAGTTCCCGCGGGAAAAGCCATGGAACTCACTGGAAAATCCGTGGAGAATCACCTTGTCTCACCATGTCTCACTGGATGGACAATCCCCTCGTCGACCGAGGAGGACCTCTGCTGACCTCGTTTTGGACCAGGCGCGGAAGCCGCCTCCAAGGGTGAAGCGCGTTTCCCGCTCGCATCGCTCCTCGAGACCAGCGAGTGTGGCTCAGACAGGTGGGTGGAGCGGATGGATGTGGCGCGCTGAGTTTGGAGAAAAACGGTTCGGAAGAGTCTGGTGGAGTGGAAGATTTCAGAGCAAAACTGTGTATAGATTCATGACATTTCATGACTGTGTTCAAAACCTGATTTGGGTGGATTGGATTGGACCGTTCGAAGGACAATCCAGGCAGATTTGCTGGAAATTCTTTGGATTTTGTAGCATGTTCGATCTGGAGAGCTGAAGCCTACAGGGCTATAGGATCCCTTTCTTCAAACACCTTGAGAATCGATGGATGACAGGCTTCGTGCCAAAGGACCTGCGATACTCCAGTCGTTTGATGAAGAGATGGTCTGACCAGGATGAAGATTGAACATCAAGATCCATTTCCATCACTGGGTGTTGGTCCCAAAATCTGCCCTGTCAGACGTGGTTTCCTTGCGAATTCATCCCCCATCCTCCGTCTGCATGGGGAGTCCACATTCAGCATCGCCCATCCAGCCGTCTGCATGGTGTGTCCCGAGGTAGGTATTTGGGGGAACTCGTTGTGGACAAATCGATGGCGCCGAAATAGCATTCAAGCGGCTGATTCGTATCTGCACGTGCTTCAAGAAGTGCTTGAACCATCTCCAAGTCTCCTCCAGTCCACACAATGGCACCATCAGGAACATCATTGTTGGTCGTATTGACAAGCGATGACTGGGTCAAGAAGCATCAAGAAACAATTGGATACTGTCCTGCCATGGTACGTGGAACGTTTGTAGGCTCTTGAGCAAGCAAGCTCTGGCAGAAATCGATCTCCACCCAAATATAAATTTCCTACTTCCTTTCAAATCTATATACTTGCAAAAAACATCCCACAAATAGATAAGACATCGAAAAACACAAAAAAAAGAACTGCTAAGTTCGCTACATCTCCACAAAGTCCACCTCACATCCTGAACAGAACCCAACCAGAAACGACTTAATGAATACTCGTTTTACTCAGTCTCCAACTCTCTAGATTCACCCCTTCCTTTCCAGAATATTCCATCTTCAGCCACCCCATCTCACCTCTGGATGCAGCTTCCAACAGGCAGCTCACCTCGCCGCCTCCACTCACGTCCTTCACCGCCGCGCGCGCGGTCAGCAAACACCGCAGAAGCTCCGTGTGGCCGCCGCGCACCGCTGCGAGCAGCGGTGACATGCTGTGCCCTGGGTCGCCGAGACACCGACGACACGGTGCGCGCAGCCGAGACGGATGAGACGGCGAGAGAACCACGGTGAGAAGACGGAAGGAGACGCGCGGAGCTGCAAAGGACACAAATGGTGTTAAAAAACACACACTCCCGGTCAGCATATGGAAGTGAAAAACACGCACCCGCTTGTAGAGGAAAATGATTGTCCAACCATTACTAGCAAACTTGGTAGCCACTGGTAGCCAGGTGTAGTGCTTTCAAGACTGAAAACTATTCGCAAATGGCACATGTTCACACGCTTGTCTACTTAGAGCGGGATGATTGGGTTGGAGGTGTTTCCCAGTCTGTCCGACCAAGTGGAGTGACGTGCCTATCATATAGGCTTGAAAACGGGTTTGTGAGGTTGTCGTTGATCTACTCAATTAGTAGTAGTCTCTGAAAGAAACAATTCGGTGCCGACAATACAGCCACGTTCATACATGTTGATACAGCTTTTGGTGTGACATGTTGCAACAATAACTCAGCCAGGAAAAATACTTTGGTGATGCTCAGCTGTAGCTTGGCTACTCGTTTGGTCGCACCACCCAGAACGGTGTTTTTATTGTTGAAAAAACACCCCGATTTCGCCAGCTGAACATCGCTCCAAAGTCACATATCAAATACCTTCCAAATCCCCCATCCCCCCCACATAACTTTTCGATCGGGGGAACCCTGCGCCCCTGAGCTGTTGGTTTCCCACATCTTCCATCGCATCCTCGATCTTCTCCATTCTTAAACCATGCAACTGTACCTTTTGCTGAACAAAAAAACACTATTTCTGACACTCTGAACGCACACATGGTCCCGGCCAATGTTTTATGCATGTCTTTTCCAGCTCAAACTACTTCGTTTTAGACAACGCTCCTGGACCTTCCCCTCGGCTCGGCTCGGCTCAGCTCCAAGGATCGGCCCGGTCGATTCCTGAGGCGCGGTGCGGCAAACGAACGGCCGCGGTGTTCCCAAAGACGCGCTGACTTTTGTGCCAGTCCCAAGCAGTGTCTGGGTTTTCCATGGATCCGACTCATAACTGAAAAGCACTCATATAGTTTGGTTAAAGGGTATGTGCCCCAGAGTGTCTTCTAGTCTACCCTCAACCTCCCTGTATAAGGGGTCCATCTTTCCAAGAAAGGACAAATCCATTTTGGATTTTGATGGTGCAAAGGTGTCTCAAGATAGACCCCGCGTCCAGCGTGGGTTGCTGCCTCCAGTCGGGCCTCCAAACAGGCGCATCTCGCATTTTGAACCAATTCACCACCACTCATGAATTTCACGGGTCACGAGGCTGTTGCAGCACCCCCCAGTTGTGGCCTAAAGCAACTGTTGCAGCACCCCCCCAGTTTGTCTGTTGTGTTTTGGCAGACTGCTTACCTGCCCTTTCTCACCTGTGGCCATGCAGGCTCGCACGTCCGCTGCAACCGGGACATCATGGGCACCTGGGACCCCGATGCCAGGTCTGTATAGCCTGCCTACCCGACCATATCTGTACATAGTAATGGACCAATTCCATGGTGGTTGTATGAAACCGAACCTGTTAAGACATGCGAAACCGGGAGATGGCTAGATCGTCCGGAACTTGGGAGGGGCCCACGGGGGCGCTACTTCCCACAGCGGAACTGATTGGTCCTCAGATTTCTCTGTCCCAACCGACCCACGTCGAGGGTCACATCTGCACGCTGCTCCAGCAGTTGTTGGACAGTCCTCACTTGCCCGTAGGCCACCGCCGTGCGCAGCGGCGTGTCCCCCGAGGTGTCTCGGTGCTCCTCACCCAAGGGCCAAAGCAGTCAGAACGATCTGGTGTCGCGCCAGGGGAAGGTTTCGGGCTTCCACTCCCCAAATCTAATCAGTTCAAAGCATTTCAAATCCACATGACATGAATCACCACCGTGGGACATACGAGCTGTGCAGTATGAGGTCTACTTGGGGCTGGGGCATGGACAAAACACACGCAGTGTCCCCGCCCGGGGTTTCCCGGTCGCTCCGGGTCAGCTTGGGCCGCCAGTAAATACTGGAGTACCTGAGGTCGCAGGTCACAGGTCGGGGCAAAGAAAGTGACGATATGGCAGTGGGTCAACACCAGAAAACACGTTGGTTGACCTGCCTAGAAGGCTGCAGCAAAATGATGAAGCTCCAGGTTTTGACCCATCCCCATCTGGATGCCCCTTTTCAAAGAGCTTTGGGAAAATGGTTCTTCAAATCCAAAGTGCTTGCAACATGGTGGGTCCCTTAGATATCTGTCACTGTCGGTATTAGTATAGTGTTTTTGTTATATACAGTACTAGTAATTAGTTATTCCTGCATGCTGTGTGTACTAAAGTCAAACATGTTGTATTGGGTGGTTCAGCTCTGGATTGGTTTCTCGATTTCAATGTTCTATAATAAAATGAGGTCGATGAACTTGTTCAAAGTGTCTTTCCACCACGTGTCCACCAGGTTTGGGTAAATATATGCATAGTTCTTGGTGTTTGTTGTCATTTATGCTTATTCCACGGATACTTTCCCCATGCTTCTGGAGATTGCTACAGTCCCGTTTCATCGTGCATCCCAACATAGTATCAGCAAACAAATATTCTGGAGATTTCTGGAGTATGGCTCAACGGGGGAGTATCATATACTCCCAGCTATTAAAAAGTATTCCGGTCCTGTCATACATATTCACCAAATATATTCCATGAACTCACGGTACTACCTGGAATATTTGCCCATCTTGCAACATATAGCTAATGGAAAAGACATCGATACGTATGGAAAAGCATGAAAACACCCCATGTAGATATTAATCCGGTCTCTACTAGGGGTTGGCATCTTAGTATCATCTTCACGCGATGATTTAAGATTTGGAGACAGGTGTCTCATTTCCACACCCCCGCCTTCCACTCGTTGTTCTGCGCCGCCATCCAAAGAGGAGTGCGCCCTGCGTGCCGGGTGGCACAAAAGAAACATCCACCCAAGCGTGGCCCTGACACCTCTCTTCCCCAACTACAGCTGTGCATGTGTATATATATAATATACATATGATGCAGGAAAAGTGATTAAATCTGATTATGAAACCCACTCTTGTGATGTCTATAGACTGTATTGTGTGACTGGCCAATCAACCACTGCCAAATATGAAACACTGTCTGGAAGCCTTGAAGTCTAGTCATGAATTTTGACTTGGAACATCTCAGAACCTTTTCGAGCCGATTCTCACCCCACACTCTCAATCTGAAAAAGATAAAACAGCTCAGGACCTCTGCGCTCGAAGCGTTTTTGTACAGCGGCGCCTTCCAAATCCACCTGTTCCACATGTGCACGGCTTCGCACCAACTGCTCCACCACCTCCGCGTGGCCCCGCGCAGCAGCGATCCGCAGCGGGGAGATGCCGAAGCGGTCCTCGGCAGCGGAGACCCGCGTCGAACGTTCGTTCGCAGCGAGCGGTGAGAGGGGAAATGCTGTTCAACTGCCCCTTTTGAGGCTTTCATGGCCATGGCTTGCATGGTCGGAGAAATACGCGATTCCCTTACACATGTGGAACTAAAAGAGCGCGGAGTGCTCATCTGTGTTGATTCCAGAACAACCTGCCCAAAGTCCAGCCTGACCAGTTTGTTGCTTCGTTACTCAGCCTTGCTACAAGTTTGAGCTCCGAATAGAACTTGAGTCACCGGAGCAAGTCACCCGAACTCCAAGGATTTCAATCTCCACTTAGAACCACCGAACGGAGCCGTGGTGCGGTCACCGGCCATTCTTCTTCATTTGGCAGGTCGCAGCTACGGCGGTCACAGCTACGGCTCGCTATGCTCGACCTGGTCGGATGTGTCACAGGTCCCGCGGCCAGCCGCCGTGGGGGCCGTGCGGTGGTGCTTCCGACCTCGTCACCTCTTTCTGCCAGGGCTCTGGCTTGTTGACATTGACCCCAGCCTTTAGCAAGCACTCCACCTCAGCTCCAGGTCGTCTCTTGGAGGTAGTTTCTCTTCCAGGTAGTTCTTTTTTCTAGCATGCCGCATGCCATGCCATCCATGTTAGTCAACGTACTATATTGTATTGGCTGTAAAGGGAACAAATCTATTGCTAGCACCCACAATCAGCAAAATCAGAGAAACAATGAGAAAAGGCACGTGCACACTGCGCACACATGTGCACACTCTAGAAATCTTGTTGCTCCTGGATGGCACCCGCAGCCCCTACATAGTGGCTTTTGAAATAGCACCGATCCTTCACCCTGAGTTCCCCATGAAGCGAGCGAGGAGTGTGGCACGTGCTTCGAAGCACTTAAGGACGATGGACGAGTGTGAACAAATCTTCGATCTAACATCTCTATTTATCCCCGAAAAGAACACCCCTGACATAAGCCCTGGTACATGGACTATGTTGACTATGTTTTCTCATACATATATAATTATATATACACATATGATCTGTATATCATATAATATACACATCGTCATGCAACGCAAAAGTATCTCTGATCTCTGGATCACTCCAAAACAAAACAACAAATACAGTAGACTTCACTGCTGGAAGTTCCCCTTCGTCAAATCCACGCCACCACGTCCAGCTGCCCATTGGCTGCAGCAACTTGGATCGCTGTGCTGCCGCTCTGCTCCGCCTTGTCCTCATCGGCGGTTGAGGCGGGGAGCCCTGAAAGCGGTTTCCGTTACACTCCCTGAAATCATCATGGTGGAAGAACGGCATATGATGACCATGATGGCATGGCCCCGATTTTGGATGATCAAGTTCAGGGAGAGTAAAAACCATGGCATATTTGCAGAATGAGTGGTATACAGAGTGAGTCTCCCTACGAGATTCACAAACCCTCTACGGCCACGGCTTTCTCTGAAAGCATCTACTCGCTGTGCGTCTGATCTACAGTGCCCACATTAAAGGAGCTTTCGAGTGCCTGCACCGCAACACACAGCAAATGTGCCTTTGCCCTAAAATGGGTAACGGGAAAACAACACAAAAAAAGATTTAAAAAAAGCAAGGATGAACGATGAACATGTTCTTCCCCGCCCTGCGGGATTCGGGCCTGAGCTGCGCTGGCTAGTGGGTCGAAGTCATCATTCGAACACCGACCGACCAACCCTGTCAATGCCTTGGATGCGCCAGCGTCCATCAAGCATTCCACCACTTCCTGGGTCGTTTCTCGACGAGGAAACCTTCCGACTCCTCGAGCGGTTCATGGTTCGCTGCTCGTTCGACGTTGCTGGAGGAACTTGTTCGACGTCGTTTGTTCGTCTCGCACCACAAATGACATCCCCTCCAATGAACCCAAAAGACAACTTATGCTAACCCCCGCAGGTTCTTTTTGTGCCAGCAAATTGGATCAGCAAATACATCCAAGAATATGGACAGCCGGAGAAAGACTCACAGGCGTGCCAATATGTTATGACACTTCCAAGTGTCTGAGTGAATGAGAGGGGGAATGTTGGTGTCGCTCTTCTCCTAAATTGGCAAGAAAATCAAGCTCTTTGAGCGTAAAGGGGGCAAGGACCAAATCCGTTTATGTGGTCAAGCAACCACAGCAAGCATCGTTTAGTGCATCGTTTCATCTACTGTATTTGGATCAAACATAACTTAAAAGAGTAATATCCGGGAGCCCTAAACAATAGTAGGTTGACCTCCTTATCAGTCCATTATTCTGTTCACTTTCCGTGGTCAACCAGGGTTCCCTGGCATCCCAGCCAAACACCGAACCTATCCGCGGACAATAGTGCATCACTGTCTGTAAAGCTTGCCACCCATGTCAAATAAATTCAAGCAACAGACCCAGCCACCTCAAACAACAGACCTTGCCACCGAAAAAAAGCGCTTGCCACCGTTCTGGTTAGTGTAGTGGTTCGCCCCACCCGGTGAATTCTGTCCTGCTGTCGGGCTATCGGACACCAAGCCGTGTCAAGAGAACAGTGATGCAAATGGGCCACAACATTTCTTCATAACTGATGGAAAACGGGATCGGTAGAGGATGGTAGGGGCATGTTTCGCCTGTAATTCTGAGGGATCAAACAAGTATGTTCCACCGGAGAATCTTCCCCAGCTGGACATTTTTGTTGGGAGATCCTCACTACGACTCCCTCTTCCGCTGAGGCACCACATGCCCATGCGCCGCGGCGAACCATAAGGGACCCAGCAGCTCAGTATCCGGAGCTGCTCGGGCCTTGAGAGATGGCCATTCAGGATCAAATCAAAACATCGAAAGCCGAAAGCCTTCGCTCCTAGGAATGCATACTAGTGCCTAACCCAACGAACATCGGGGGTTCCTATTATTTGTTGATATTATGTGTGTGTTTTTTACCCACATATTTTCCCGTCTGATCCATTCTTGAAAGCCAGGGAATCCCGTCTCCTAAAGTTACGGATCTGATCTGACTAAACAAATCCAAGCGTCCAGACTCTTGAGGGATTGCCGCAATTGCATCTCTTCTTTCGTTTAGGTACAGAAAAAAATCTCCGAAGGTCGCAGTATCGGAAGTTTGTTTTGTGGCATTGTCTGGGCTGGTGGTTGTCTGTCTTTGTTTGCTACTGATGGCCACTTATTTTGTGCACGAGCTGTTCATGATCAAACTTGTGTATTGTCTCATGATCCGTTAAAATATCTATTTATATACCTATCAAAATCTATCAAGCTTTATATGCGTGTGTCTATGTCTACCATCTGTTGGGAGGTGGACCAAGTGGATTTGTTGTGACTTGGGACCCCTATCTTCCACAAACAACTCACGCAACCTTGTGCACACCCATCTTTTGCTCACCCGAAACATTGATGGGACGAGCACACCACTCAACACAATCAGGGAGGATTTTTGAGTTGCTCATCCCCTTCTGAGGCCCGGCGTGGGAGCAGCGCCACTTAGAAATCCACCAACCCCGACAGCGGCTCCTGGAGCAATCGTTGTACCACTTCCAAGTGTCCACCTTGGCTGCTTCTCATGTAGATTCCATTCCGTCTTTTTGGTGACTGTGTGCGCCAACAAAAATCACAAGCCGCTGCTCAAGAAATTAACGTGCCAGGCCACACTCTGCCGCGCATTGCAACGGGCTGAAGGGTACACTCAGACCAGGAGCTTCACAACTGAGCGCATTGGGGTCCTTGTCGCTAAGGCAGTGATGAGGCTGAGGGGAGGAGGAGGGCAGCGGTACAGGAGACCAAATCTGCAGATTCTCCTGGAACATGCTTTGTCTCGAACCACACTCTTTAGCATACACAGGGATTGAAGTTGGAAGGAATTGACGATGCCACCAACTAGGACTCAACCAGTTTGCTGTTCTCCGTGTGGTCAGTGATTGTTGACTCTTAGTAATTGACCCATTTGAGTCACCCAAACTGGACTGTTTCACTCCACTTGATCAGTGACCCAAGGATCCACTCCCGCCACAGGACCCAGCTGGAGGACCTCGACGACCAGCGCAGCAAGTCCGGTACCGGACGGGATCGATGGACCACCCTGTTTAGGACGGCAAGCGAGGCGGTTGAGTCCTGTGGGAGTTGAAGTAGCTGATCCACTTGCGCCAGGTCGCCTGACAGCGGGACTCCCAATGATTGCAATAGGCTATTTAAACAAAAGAAAGAAGTGAAATCAGCAGGAGCATCCTGAAACAAACAGCTCTGTAGCAACTGATAAGGATGCATGAAGTGAGCGAGAGTTTCCTACCAAGAATATTACATCATATTAAAGTAAGCTAAGATCCAAATATATCCAAATCAAATCCAATTTGGCTGATTAACAATTTGATGCCAAAACCGAAAAGCGCTGCTGGCCAGCTGGATTGAACCCTCTGACTCTTGTGTTTCTGATACAAGCAGAATATATCACAATATACTCACCCAAAGATCCTCTGGTTTTGTAACACTCCCAGACTCCACAACATATGTCATGGCCCCTGGTTGCTATCTGACCACTTCCCACCCTCGACATTGCCTTCAACACAGTTGTATCAAATCAAATTGCAGCACGGGTGAATAGCGATGGGTTCTGGAGACCAGTTATTTACTGTATATAGCATTGCATGAATCAATGGGCCGGCTCCTTCGATACAGGCTTTCTTTGGGCCAGCTCCCTGAGAGCCATCACCCGGATTCACCATGAGCTCTGAGTCCGTCCACAGCTGTGTCCCCAAACATCCCAAATTGGAGGGCTTTAGGATGCTTTACCAAAACAAGATCAAGAACGGGGCGAGTCGGAGTGCTTCTTTCCTCTTCCTCCCTCCGTGGCGTCCTCCGACACCAGACCGGCGTGCCGAGGGGTGCGGGAGGCCCTGCCTATCGCCGAGGCGGAGCGCAGCTCAGTTGCCTGGACCGAGACCACGAGCTCGAACGACCGCCACGAGCACGCTGAGCAGGGCGTTCGCTCGTGGAGGTCCTTCGAACGACCGGGTCGTTCGTTCGTGCGGTCTCGGTCGGTCGGTAGTTCGAACGGACAGGGCTCGGAGTGAACGTTGGGCACATCCCGTTTGCACCAGATTGGGTCGGATCTTCGGAGTCCACCTATTGGCTCTGCAGGTCGTCGATGGAACATGAGTCACCATTGAAGGCGGCCGGGTGGGGTGGGGTGGGGTGGGGTAAGCACTGTGCACACTGTACCAGGCCTTGTCATGGCGGTAGGGAAGCACCACCAAATGCAGCTCATCGGGGCTTCCCAATTCCTGGAGATGTCTTCCGGTGAGTTTCTGTGCAAGGAAGACACCCAGACCAGGAACGTGCGAATCTTGTGCGGCTCGTAGGGAATGAGGATGGCTGGATCCAGAGGAATCTCTCATTCCCTCATTCCCTACTTTCGTCGCACATGGCGTGAGTCTACGGCTGGAATAGATACCCCGACCAAATGGCCCATCCATGTAACTGTTTGAACCGTTCCAGTCACACGGATGGCCTGGATCCCGGAGTGTGAAAATCCAATTCTAGTGGCTCACCATGAGTGAACCAGATCCGGTCCAAGGAATTGAATATATCCTGGATCGCCTGTGGAAAAAGCAGAACACGACCGGTAGCAAACATGAACACGCCTGGACCATCCAGGGGTGTCCTGGTTGGAGATCTATCCATAAGTTGGGCTGGTTCGAGCCAGAACACCCAGACAGGATGATCCTGGCAGCCAACTTCTTTGATTCAGTTGAGGCCCACCATGTTGCTATGGGCGATTGTAGGGGACGGTCTTCGCTTTGCCTTTCATGGCCGGCAATTTAGCAAGCTCCAAGTCCAAGTACACAAATTCTCGGCTGGACCCTCTCTCTCTACAAGGCGCGCAACCAGTGTTGACAAGTAACCCGATACATCCCGATACCGGTTGGTCACCAATATAATATGCTTTGAAATGGCCCAATGGCCACGAAGAAGGCCTATTTAGCTTGACCAAAGTAATTGTTGTAGAGTCCTGTAGAGTCATCATTCGGTCTTCCTATTTGATTCTAAGGGCCCACAGTCTGGCTGACAGAAAGCCAACATCTGGCCAAGCAAGCAACCGCTTCACCCACCAAAAGTTTCAATTTGGCTTACCAAAAATCTAAAGACCAACAAACACAAGTTTGGGTCATTGGAATTGCCATCCCAATACCCCTGGTGATTGTTCGATAGCTGTCTTCTTGCCCATGAAGCCCGCCCCGCCTGAAAAGAACCATCAGAAAGTTCATGGCCATCTTTCAGCAAACGCAAGCGATGGTGGCTGATGCCCATCCTGCACCGCCGTTTTTGACACTGTCATGGCGGTCGGTCTCTCGGTCTCTCTCGGTCAAGTGAGTGGCACAGAAACCTGAGACGTGCCGTCACGTCTCGTGACCCAGCGCTCCAACTTCAACCTTTTTGATCTTCATCAATGCCCAGCACTTGGATGTCCAGTGCTCAATGCTCGGGAGATCAGTGCGTCAACGCCCGGCAGTTCGCCCCAGCCGGAGCCCAGTTGGGCACCTCCGTTCGAGCTCTTTCTTCACCTCCACGGCCAAAGGCTGCTCTGGCACCACCTCCGTGCGATTTGGCCGTCAGTCTTGGGTGTCTTCCAAGTTGTGGCCCAACATGCCCCTTGTTCCCCTCTAGCAAATTTACATGAAACATGGTTGATCACTGTTGATCATCTCTGTATTTTGAGACACCCTTTAAAGTCCTTCTAACACAATACAACATGCACGTTTGCGTGCATGTCCCAAGTGTCAAACATGCATTCTCTCAGCTGACAGCGTAGACCTGCCAACCCAAAAAAAACAATCAGGTTTGAAAGGCAGCAGCCAAAAGACAAGAACCTGCTAATACCCGGATCCTATAGAGTTCATATTTACCTACATTGGGGTGGTTGACCTGGGGTGAATGGGGCGGCATATATGCCAGTCCCATGTGTCGTGTCTGGGATCTAGTTCGTAGAACGGTTGAAACCGATGGAAGCCGCCGCTCTTCATCGGCTCTTCGAGGAGCCTCCAAGTGGGCCACGACGTTCCCGGACATGGCTCGCACACACAGCATGGGTCGATATGTGGGTCGCGATGGCCCAAAGGCAGCAACTTGGTGGTGGCGAAGGTTTCAAACAACGACAGCATGTTGTCAGATTCATAAACAACTCATCGAGTTGAGTAGAGAGAGTATTAGCATTGCCTAATTTTCAATCGGTTTGTCATGCCGCCATGCTTAGCACATGTTGTAGTCGTTTCATTTGTTTCGTACAACGAAGTGTTGCCGCTTGGTCCAAGCAAACACATCAGCAGGTCCTCCTTGTCAGTTCCTTCTTGTTTCTTTGTTTCGCAAGGTCTAGTGCTTGTGTTGGACAGATTACTGCACACATGTTCAATATAACACCACTTGGAGTGAATTATAGTCAAACACATAATAGAACAGGACCGTCAGTATGCCAGTGCCATTGGTTGGATGCGAAACGCAATACTACTTATAGGTGCTCCTGGAATGGAATCTGCTTGACCCGCAGCCGGACCGTGTCTAGCTGCTGTTCGTGAGCCGAAGTGATCAATCGCATGGTGAACTGACTCCCGAAACCGATCTGATAAAAAGTTGTATATCCACTTTTCCTGGGTAGGTGATTCAATTTAAAGGCACACACACAAACACTAGTTTCTAGGGTGACCCGACTGGAAGAACTCCTGCGGCACCGACCTATATCCGTAAGCACCCACAAACACGGTGGTCTTCCACCTCGACTCAGAGTTCTTTCCGTCTTGTTCGGTGTACATCGTGGTGCCTTTGCCCGCCCTCTTGTGTCATCTGACCAGGTCTCCGAAGGGTTGGGGTCATTCAAAGCTTCCCTTTCTCCGCAACCCGCCGTTGGTTCCCATCGTGTACCGTTCACCCTCCCGGGGCACCCGAGCGTGGGATCCATGGCCGGGCCGTCAGGACTTGGGATCAGGGGAGTCGAGGCTCTTCAAGCGGCCTAGCGGGTGGGGTAGATGCGAAGCCTGGGGCCGGAGGGGGTAGGTAGTCACTGGGTTTCGTAGACCCCCAGACCCAAAGATGGGAGTCACTGGGTTGGCTGCACATGGTGGTTTCAGAGTAGATGGCACAGTCCCCAAGTTTGGAGGTTTACCAAGTTTGGTGGTCTATGTAGACTCCCAGCTACAGGACATTTAAGAGTTTGTGCCATCCACTCTGAATCCACTATGTTGTGCGTTCTCCACTCTTTAAACAACCTTATCTTGTCTCAAATAAAAAACACAACATTCCCAAGCGAGCTGCAACCACTTGAATCAAAGAAACTGCATCTTCGCCGTTCTCGTCCCACACGCACCTGCCATGGGAAGATCGAAGTATGACTGGATCTCCTGAGCGCTTCGAAATGTGACCGTTTTTGAAGGAAGTCCTAGAGCCCTAAGCCTCCAGTCGTACCTTCGTTTCGAAGGTGGGACTGGGGGGCCCGGGTGCCAGGAGGGTCTAGTCATACCGAACCTGAGGAGGTATGACTGGAGGTGTAAGGAAGTCCGGTGCCATTGGTTGCCTCAACCGGTTTTGGGTCTAGCTCGCTCGTTACTCGGTCTGACTGGGCCATCCCGGCGCTACGCTTCTGCACGAAATCCCAGTACTCAAGCAAGTGATTCAACCTGGGCGCCGGCGCGCCACCGGTGAGGGCGGGCTTGATGTCCAAGGTATTCTGCGTTGTTTTTGGTTGGATGATTGTTTGGTTCCTCTTTGCTCAAGGTCATCACGGAGTCATCACGTCCTTTCTTGCTTTGAGCTCTTGCTTCTGAGGTTGTCATGCTTTCCAGGAGCTGCACTCCTGCACCTCTTCAGCTGGCACTTTAGTATAGGAGTTTGTCTGAGTCACACTCAACAACTCACCATCCTCAAGAGTGTTTTGTCAGGTAAACTTCGACCCATGTTTACCCTGCATCCAATCTTTTGAGTCTCTGGCCATTGCTTCTCAGTCAGTTGCAGCCTCAACAAAAACAGGCCATGAGCTTCGGCCAGCAGAGTCTGAGGTTCAGCTTCAAGAGATGGCTCACCAACGCTTGATCTCCCGGGCCCATGTGGACCTTCAAAGTGACCTAGAATGAGATCCTAGACTGAGGTCACTTAGTCCCTACAGAGGTCACTTCGAAACTCCAACCAGCGAGCTGCCGCACCCTGTGTAACCGACCGGGTCTTTGGATGGGGAAGAGCATCTGAGACCAAAGGCACGGGGTCTGCAGACCGGGCAGCAACGAAGGCATGGGTCTGCAAACCGGTCACGCTGAAATACACGGTGGTTTCTTTAGTATCGGGAACAATAGGATCGTCGTAGTACTGTACTTTTTTTTCTATTCCCCAAGCAGTGTGGTCACACTAGGAGTTCTTACGGCAAGTGTTAATGCTGTGTTCAATCGGCGGTGCCCGCATCCGTGTCCGGCTATAGTGAGTGGTCCTCAAATAAATAGAAACGGTGTCCAAGACATTTTCAGTACCTATATCAATCTATTTTAGTATCTATCAATTTTAGTGTCCAAGATATTTTAACGGTGTCCAAAAAAAATAGAACATGTGTGTATTTTATTTTTTTATCTATCTATTTAGGGGTCTGTGTATAATAGTATATACTCGGGGAGGGTTAAGTCTCCTACCCTACAGGCCCTAATCGCGCGATTAATCGCGCAGTCGTTGGAGAGTCTTTGAGTGATGTCTCCAGTGATGCGCAGAGTCGCCTGAGATCCACTCTACAAGAGATGGGAGGCGCCGTACACACAAGGGACATGATTAAAGATTTGGGCATCCCGTTCTAGATCAAGACGACACGTCGGGCATTGCACCTGTATACAGGAAATTGCCAGTCGGCCCGGGGATGATTTGACTGTCATCGGCTGGTTTAATACCAGGACCCAAGGGGTGCCCTGTCTGGAAGCCTATAGGTAGTGTGGGGTAGTTCAGCCAGGACACCCCGACAGGAGGGTCCTGGTATGTTGTGTCTTCTCTCATTGGAACGGTCCCTTCTCCTCCCAGCCTTGCCTGACAGGAGTCGAAGAACGAAGTCGAGTCGGCCGCGGCCGCATGGCATGGGGAGGTCTACAAGGGCATCCAAGGCCCAAAAGACCATCCAAGTCGGGTGCTCTATTATGTCTCTTCTATAAAACCCCGGCCCCCAAATGCCAAAAGCTGTCGGATCATGTGCTTCTGTTGGTGGTGATGTTCTTCTTTGTCGGTGGATCCTCAGCAGGTCGTGGATAATTACCGTCCTCAATGAATCATAGAAGTTACGTGATGTGACGTGGCCATGCACGGCCCCCCTGAAAAGACCTTGTTCCATGATGGTTTGCAAGTGGTCAAACTCTCTGAAACCATGGTCAAACTTCCTGAAACCATGGTCAACTCCACGAAACCATGGATGATTGCAGGAAGTGTCTGTATATTCGCTGGGCCTTCGCACCCGCCGAAGCCTCCAGGTGCAGCGCTCCCTCACGTGGAGGAAGGTGAAGAAATGCGGGCACTCGGTTGCTGAATGCCAAAGGGTGACTCCCAAGAAGAACACTTAGTAATATAGAAAAAGGGTCCGTGAAGAATGACACTTTAGATTTGGCTCCAGCATGTTGTAGCTACAGGACACCGTTTTGCTACATAAGTGTGCGGGCCATGTGTGCTGTTTGTCAGAGAGCCTCGGGCCTTACAGTGCACAAAAAATACATATCACACAAGTCTCTACTGTACCAAATAAAATAGTCTATATAAATAATATAATCTAATTTGTAAGCTCAGGACCAATGGTTAGCTCAAACATATAATATACACTTCAAAAATACGTCAATAAATAATCTACTGTAAATTTCCATGCATTTCCAAATACTTCAAGTTGCCGCACCTTCGTGGAAAAGCTCCTGCCGCAAGCCTAGGCGTGGTGTCAGGTCGGGGGCCCCGGGCCTCGTGATGAGATGTTGTTCAACTTGGATCACGTTGTTCGTGTATTGGGGACCTGCATCCCCGTACCCATTTCAAGGTCAGTCTATATCTATTTAAAACAAAGAAACACATGAACATGAACATGAACATAATATGAAACCAATCATGGTATCTCTGCTTTTTCTTAGTGTTTGGCGAAAAAAAACAGCTTAGTCTCGCCTTTTATGTTCAATACGCTTTGGGCTCGATCGACTGGAAATGGGCCACGTTCTTCCCAACTCAGAAGGCCCAACCTTGTAACACTCACCGGCCCCGTTTGAAGCGAAGTACCGCAGACGTACCACCCGCACCTGAGTATACTCATTGTATCAATACCACTGTTTTTCCTGGGCTGCCATGACATCTGGATTCCAGTCCAGTACTCAGTGCACACTTCAGTGCACACTCAGCTGCTTCGGCCGACAGGCTACCTCACAAAATACGCCTTGTAGCCCTCTGGGACTCGAAGAGCCACCTTGTATCTGCAAAAGCTAGTTCAATACTGCAACCACTTCCACTTGCGTGCCAGTTTCTACACGGATGCTGCCAGCTACTCTGCAAAATCTGCAACCCAAATTCAGTTAGAAAGAGCACCAATAACAAGCCTAACTGGGATTGGAGCTCAAAGTTCTGAAAGTACATAAATACATGCATGAAAAAATATAATATATAGATAAATGATATATAATATAGGATGATACACTCATGAACATTCAGCAACAAACAACATTTAAACCAAACACCTGCAACAACATTAAAGTTCCTATCCCCCAACCAAAACCCACCCACAAAACCCTCCGCCAAAAACCCGCCACCGTCCTACGTTGTTCAAACCGGCGTCGCCGGAGCTCGGTCGGAGCTCGGTCTCCCAGGCTTCGCCCCAGCTCGGCTGCTTGGGCACTGCAAAGCATCTCCTCGGCGCCTGAGGCATCGGCGTCGGCGTCAGCGGAACGGTCTCCAGGTGGGAGCGGACGCAAACGGTAGGGACGTGGATTCGAAACGGTCTCCGGTCTTGGGCGAAAATGAGAAGGGTGGAGATGAGATCATTTCATGATCTATTTCATGATGTAATTTATACCAATGATATATTTCATGTGAGT